TCCAGAGCTAAAGTCTGTTGTTAACTTATTTTAATCTGTTCTGATGTTCAACCTAATGAGGTCTATACTGCAATAAATAATATAATAAATCTATAATAGTATGTTAAATCTGTAAATGTTTGAATACAATTTGTGAATGAATTTTGTATCGTGCTAGTTGAAATTGGAACTATTGGTCTATTTATTTGCTAGATATCTATATTTATATATTTGCTCTATCTCTTTCCCCTATTTATTTGATTTATGTAATTAAATAATTACTCTCTTAATTTCATTTAACTATACAACAAGGTGTATTATTTTGTAAGCAAAGGTATGAATGTTTTTGGATAGAGACACCATAGTATTCCAACTTATAATATGATTTGTCTATATTTGACATTCATTGGTGGCAAGGGATGTCAAATGTCAATACCTTATTTGTCATTCTTGCATTTGTACAGTAAATTGTATATTATGATGTGTGTTGTATGTCAGGTCCTAATTCTACTGTTATAATATGTATATTAGCTAAAGACTAATGATGACCTTGTCTGTGGTGATTCGTTGACTAGAACGATTATTATAGTTGTATTTTGGGCAACAATAATATCTATATCTTATTGTGTACTTCTAATTTGTTATCTGTTATGTTCCCTATATTTCACGGTGAACCTTCTTTGTGAGAATAAGGTGCCCCGCCCCGCCCCCACCCGCGGCCGACCCCACCCCCACCCCAGACCCTTATTGTGAAAGAGAGGTGACTAGGGTTATGTAGGCTGTAGCACCCATCTTATTATAATCGTTTTAGGATGCTGGCCTGTGATGACTTCTTGGACGATATTGCTAACATCGAAAAACAGTTAGTATTTTTTTAATCTTTTTTTTAATTGCTATATAAAGCTTAATAATAATATCTTTAGTTTCATAACTTATAATTTTTTGTCCTTTCATTGATTAAATGTATTAAGATTGCGATTGGTAGGCTCTCCTAATATGAGAGGCTTTTGTTGCCCACAGCCTCACCACCACACCACTAACACCACATTACTTCAGTTACTACAACACTGGATACAGTGCCGGATGGAGTGCGGGCAAGGAGGAGGGAGAAAGGGAGGGAGGACCTCTCGGTTACAAGCAGGGAGCACTTCTTGCTAAGGAAATACGCTCATATCAAACATTTGCTGAGACGCTGATCTTAAATATTCATACTCCTAACAGGTACAGCTGCTGCTTAAAGGGGTTCTGACTTGTGTTTTATCTTTTGAATCTTGTTCAATTGTGGTTATTGTTTAATTTTAAGCATCGTTAATTTGTATGCAGAAATATGAGGTGGCCATTTTTCATGTTGCAATAACGACTCTTTTTTAATAATATATGAAAATGTAACAAAAATTATACAAAATGACAGATTCATTAGCCATAGTGCAATTGTATATTTATTAATTGTGGCGATCTATTAAATGCGTGCAGAATTCATAAAACAAACTCAAATTATGCTGAAGACGATTTACACAAGTATTTTGAAAGCTCCTGCTAATAAAATCCTTTCGTATCACTTATATGTTTTAAATATCCCCCTCCAAACTCAAATTATGTTTAACGCAATGGTCACGCAAATTCTATAACAATGTAATTAAATTAACTTCGAGTTCTTTTTCTAAGCATACATGAAATGTGAAATTGTCACCGGTAAGGTTTTTAAGTCAATCAAAGCATTTAAATGTCAACAATCATTTTGAAATGAAGTTAAGAAAATTTATTTTAAAAGAAGACAAAACTAAAAGTTATGTTATTACATTATTACTACAAATAACACGACAAAAATCAAAATGAGTTAAAGAAAATAATCACAATCACATTACATTATTTAAAATCAAATTATCATACCAAAACTTAAGGATATGTGGCAGCAGCTGTAGGCTCACATGAAATTCCCTTGTAAGAGCTCTGTAAAGGTCCGGGAACTTTAACTCTATATTAGTTTATTAGAGTAGTATAACAACTACTGATCTTCCCTAATCATGTAATAATGCATAATAAATCATGTAATGAAATATAATAAGATATATAATAATAACAACTACACACTACACAGCACTATAAAATTGCAATTGGTGGTTCAAGTCTGATGTTTCTACAGTCTACACACATTATTATCAGTGCAGCACCACATGTGTTTCAAACAGAAATAAACAGCTTGGCTTTAATCAGTCATTATATCTCCATTAGTTCAAACCTCCACCCCCCCCCCCCCTCTACCTGTCTATCTGCACTGGCCACTGCAGAGTCTTCTCCAGTACCCAACGTATCTCCTCCTCAACTCCTCCTTTCTGCAGATTAAGATGACTGGATAAAGTACCGCGTATATTAGAGGCAGTGTGAACTCTGTGAATCCCACCAACATTCCAATATCTGCTACCTCTTTATCAGAGTAACGTTCACCCTCGAAGTAATTCAGCAACAATATGAGCTGGCAGATAATGTACGCAGCGTTACAGATGAAGAAGAGGAGAGATACGGAGAAGACGGTGATTGAGACGTGACGGGCGGTATTTGGCATCAGTGGGGAAACTTCGTCATCTTCTTGTTCCCGGAGTGATCTTCTCAGGTGTTTTACTTGAATTATCATACATGTTAGCATGATTAGCGGGGGGCCTAGATGGTAGACAGCTTCAATTGAAAGAACAATCCCATTGAAGATACTATCACACTTTTCAGTGCGTTCGCCAAACCCATAATATATAGCCACAGCCGTAATTCCTCCAGGCATAACGAACAAAAACTGGTAGTAGAGATAGATGTATGCACCCTGGTGAACAAGATTTGGTATAAAACTAAAGACAATGGCTGTGAGTATGATGGCATCTGAAACATGAAGCATCATTATGGCAAAGCAAAGGCAAGCTACAATTTTCCGTAAGCGCTGAAAATTGATCCTATGAAAAGGATTAGAGACCTTAATGGAAATGGAAATGGTCATCACTAAATTGAACACTTTGGACCAATTGACACCAGGAAGTGCAGTAAGCATGTAGTAAACCAAGCTCTTATAAAGAACAGTCACCTCAACCAGTCCTGTGTACGCTAGGATACTGATCACTGAGAGTACCAACTCTCCTTGTGCTCTGAGAATGTCAGACAAGGCAATACCCATGAACAAATTGGGGATTAATTTGTTTCTGTCCTTGTAGTAGCTTCGAAAGATGAAAATGTTATGGATCACAACTATCACACTCAAAGGTATGGTGAGAGGGGCTAGGTAGAAGAATGCTCCTTTGAAGGCAAAGAAGACTCGACGGTCAGAAATATCCTGTAACTGATTCATTGCGTATCTAGTGAGTATTTTAAAGGTTATGAAAGAGAAAATGCTAAATTTTATAAACAAAAGCCGCAGTTAAATCGGTAGGTTAAGATGATGAGATATTACTAACTATATCAACCAATTCTCATATTAGTGGGTAGGGGAGGTCTAATACATATACTTTCTTTTCACTGACAATAATATGCTGACAATAACAAAACTCGTAATATCAAGTGACTGTATTCTGAGTTATGTCCATAAACAAGGTACGGATTCCACGTAAGGATTCCTGCATCAATGTATTATCTACTCACAGACATGTTTCAACCTTATAACAAGAATGTAAGAAAGTTCACTGATGTAACTTCTCATACCCTTCAAGAAGTTTTCAAAAGTTTTACACAGGTTTTAAATCTACATATTGTTAAATTGATGCAGCTTGAAAATGTGTGTAACACTACCTCTTCAGTCGAATAACGAGAGCATTGGAGAGTCTACGAGACATGTGCTCTACCTTTGTTATAGAGAACACGGAGGATTTAATTGAGAGGTTTAACTCGGTCAAAGCAAAACACAGACAGGTTAGCCCACACATGTTTCAATTTAAAGTATCGATGCTTGCAGAAACTTAGATTATTCGTCCTTCATTGTGTAGTCTGTTGTATTATATACCGTATACGTGATTGTCAGGAAAAAGCATTTGTTTCAAATTACCTCACAAGTCACAATTCGTGTACCCGGCCTTGATAATATGTTAACAATTTAGACTGACGAGTTTCACGAGTATTATATTTGAGCAAAGTTCTGTTTCCCCTTTTTTTGTATGGTTTATTCAGTGTTGTATATATAGTTACAAATTACAATCTCAGGTATGCTCTCTACTGAGCAAACAACGGAACAATGATACACAAAGTCCCAGTCCTGACATGTCCTTTTAACACACGTGACTCACACGGATACCCCACCTGGAGTCTCAGTCTTGCAGCAATTCCGGTTAGGGTTGTCTGTTTTTAGGGTTGTCTGTTTTTAGGGTTGTCTGTTTTTATGGTTGTCTGTTTTTAGGGTTGCCAGTTTTTTGTTAGCTTAGGTTTCACTTAATTTTATTCTGAAATATGATAGCTGTCGTGGTGTCACTCTTGATTTTGTTTAATTTCGTGTAAATTTTAGGAGTGAATCAATAGATTTATGTGTAATAAATTCAATCAATACATTGTCTCAATTTAAAACATGTTCACTTCTTAATTTATAGCTTCTATGTAGTATGTACAGAGTAGTCAATTGTCATATGAACTCTACCCCAGATCTAGCCCATTTCTAGGTCAATTATATTCAATCCATGGATCACATCACTAATTGTACGTTACTGATTGGTGACGTGATCTGACCCCTCTTTGGGGGCCGGATCAGTTTCCGGTCCCAAAGTCTCCCAGTGGTCAAATGATGCAAAGTTCCCGGGTTTATCCTGTGGCATATTAATGATGGAGGATCTTGAAGCGCAATAACCAAATACCAAATTATTGTGCAAAGCTTAACGCGCGGCTTTTACACACGTGTTCACATCTTATTTAGCTTTACGTACGTTCGCTCCTTGCTCGATGAACATTATGTACGATCTTCATTGAAGTAGTCAGTAAAACAAGGACATGATACTATCTATGTGGGGGGACTACGGACCCCATCATAACCCATTTCAAATTTGCCGCCTGGTTACATAGCACTCAAATTATTTGTTATATAGTAGTGTTGAAAGTATTAAAACTTGTTACATTATACATACCGGTTATGTTGAAATGTGGTTGCGGATAGCTTCTAATTGTCTAATTCCACCAATAATGGAGATAGACAGAAGATAAAATTTTCCACAGTTAAATTAGATATTTTTGATTTATTTCATCTACGGGTATATGGCCCCCAGAATATAGGTGGCCCCCAAAATATAGGTCATGTTAGTGGATACATTTCTAACCAAGATAAGCAATACTAATGGGATCTGTTACTGCTAGGTTGGAGTAAAACATGTAACTTATGTTTCTGGATAAAAATTTTGGACCTACATGAGGTATTTTGGTATATTTGGTCATGACAGCGAAAGATTTAAACGATGTTGTCATTTTCTAGAGGGGTAAATATGGCGAAAAATTGTCATGACAAAAATCTGTCCAACACATGCCATTAAGACTACTGGTATGAGTATAAGTATTATTTTAAGCTATCTTTTCATCGAGACATCTGCAAACTGACAATTTGGAAAAAAGTTATGGCCACCACAATTTTACGGGCCCCCAGAATATAGGTCTATACGACCCCCAGAATATAGGTTGGTCAAAAACCCTGAACATGCCCAAAACCATGCTTTGGGATGCTCTACTTGTAGCTACTAGTCTCCTGAACCCACATATCAAGTTTTATCAAAATTGGATAAAAATTGGCCGAGTTATGGGATAAAAACAAAAACCATATGCCCATATTTGGGCATACGCACCAAATTTGATCGATTTTGGTCCATAAATTGGTCAAATATCAATATTTTTGAATGAAACCAACTTTATATGGAAGGTAAGCATATATTACACATTCTCTATGATTATCAGCTCAATATCTACCTAACTGTGGATTCTGTGTTCAAATAATCGCAAAAAATGAACAAAATCGCCCATATCTCAAACTGACTTCGCTCAAAACAATAGAACTCAATAGGGTTTCAATATTTTCACATGAAATTTTCAGAATCAACGTAGAATTGTCTCATGACCTTAAGTTTTGGGACAGAATTTTGAGTTAGGCCTTTAAAAAAATTTGGCGGCCAAAAATGTCTGATTTACAGTCATTGAGGTGCACATTGTATTGATACAGATAAAAACAGCCCCCCTCAATCATATCTAGGGACACTCCTTCAATCTTATTTAAGTATTTAGTTAAGATCCCTACTAAATGAGTGCATGAAAGCTTTTAAACAAGTAAAATTAAAGATTTTACTCATCACGGGTATATGGCCCCCAGAATATAGGTTTTAAAAAAAAAATAGCGACCAAGATTCTGCATTTTCTCTGTCACCCTGAGCATTAAGGAATGTGGGGTAGTGATAAGAAACAGTTAAAGAACATATGCTGAAGAGATGGCATCATCAAAATGTATGAAGGTGGAGTATTTGAGGACGATTTTTGCATACCTATATTCTGGGGGCCGTAGTTTTTGATTTTTTGCTATTAAGTATACTCTAAACCATTTCAATTTAGTATCTGGAGCCATTGGCATCATCAATACAGTCTCAGCAACATATTCTGACTGCATATAACTGTCTGTGACAATTTTAGAACAACTTAGGAACAGATGTTTGGACCTATATTCTGGGGGCCCTGTTAAAAAATGGTATTTTTACAGGTGAAAAAAAAGTACACTTAAAAACCTAATAATTATTTTCAACTACCCAAGAAACATTTAAAGGGTTATAATGTACATATTTACAGCCCTAAACATGCTTAGAAGTAGTTTTAACACCTGTTTCTAAGTGCTCAAAAAACGACCTATATTCTGGGGGCCATATACCCGTATTGCGTGGTATCAAATTTATGTTCCATCAGGCATCATCCTTTAAACTGTTCTGAGATTTAATATTGATAGTAGATATGATGTAAGATTTAGAATTATTATCAAATATACCCTAAAATTAACTCAGTAAGATTATTTGAAATTTCAAAGACGATTCTAGTTCTACAGGTCGTAAAGGATACTCAAATTAGTTCATGAATAAACAAAATACTGACTTTCCTGATGAGATTTTGCACTGTTCTCTCTATGGTCATATTTAAAGTTTAGTTCAGATTCTTTTTGTTTTTGGTTTACCTTGCTTTTGTATTTATGTTATAACAATCTTTTTCTCTACTGTATTAAATATATCATGACGTTGGTGTCAGCATTTAGTAACACATAAAACACGCTTCTTTACAATAACAAGAAATCAACTTCTAGTTTGATAGGTGAACACATTCTTTGATATACTCCCAAAGTCAAGATAAAAAGAGTTGTATAAAATAATAGACATGTTCGACATCAAAGGTTAAAATAAAGGTAATTAATAATGTTTGTCCTTAAATTAATTCCGTACTGATTAATTCCATAGAATACTAAAACGTTAATTCCATATAATACTGAAAAATTAATCGGTGCTTATTTGGAGTAAACATTCTTTCTAAATAAAATAAAGAACGTTTTATCTTCCGTACTGACTCCTATTCTTAAGCACAATTTATTCCAGGCCATAACGTGTTTTGCAGCATGTCGTTAAGTATATCTTCGTAAGTTCATACCCTTTCTTGTCTCCTGAACTTGAAGTGCAGCTGAGAGTTACTCCTCGTAAAATACGAAATTGGTTTACATCTCGTAGTCAGCATGTCTTTTTCTGAGAGATTTCTCGGTTAGACTATTTTGAGAATGCGTGACGAAAGAGATACTTTTTAGACGGTGGTCAGCAGTTGCCGAAAATATTTTATTTATAATACAGGGTGGGCCAAAAGTCAGTGTGCAAACGTTGGCCTTAATAGCTCAGTCACTGAGTGCCCAATTGAAATACTTCCTTCTGGTATGACTTAGTACCACCACTGGTTCGAGGAATTTGTCAACTCGAAAAATATTCGCGTTCATTTTTTTCAAATGGAGGTTCATTTTCACATTTATTTGATAGTTTGGATAGTCGGATCAAGCTAAATGTTATTGAATTGTGTTTGGCCATTCGAATTACGTTTGTCCTGAAAGAATTAGAACTGTAGCTTCTCAGATGACCGAGATATGAAGCATAACGAATTTATTCATTACGTGTGATCAGGTGATTGGTTTACCTAATCACGTGATAAGGTGCCCCCGTTAACTACCCCGTTAAACATTATGGGAATTGTTAAGGGTGCCCAATTAAGGTGTCGTGTCACGGTGTCACATAATCACCCAGTCAATTTTGTTAACGAGATACACAAAATGCTTGATAACTTCGTCATTTCTAATCCGTTTTGCCTCATGTTTTCAGATCATATGCAACATTTGATAATCTACCGTCTCTGAAAAAATTAGGCGTTCAGCATGTTCAGAGAAAACAATATAGGTGTTTTAATATTGAATGGGCGTGGTCTAAAATATTCGAATTTTCAAATTTTGACGACGGAATCCTCGAACCAGTAAGTACAGTATGCCATCTGCAAAGCAACAGCTCTTAAATATAAAACACGGCGGAGGTATAAGACCCAACGTTTGCACACTGACTTTTGGCCCACCCTGTACTAAAAACTGAATACTCACCTTGTGTACAATAATTGTAAGTGCGTAATACAACACAGTACCAGCAAACAGATGGTTTTAGAGCAAACAAGTGGTTAGCTGCATTCTCAGGATTTCCCCGGTTAAAAATCCAATCAAATGGCGCTATATGGTTGTCGAGATACAGTGTATGTCGATATACAGTGTGATTACCGATATGTTGTTGGGTTTAACCATCGTGCTGGGCCCTGTCTGTGGCTTTCTTCTGTTTAAAAAAGATATCTTGGTTAAGGTACAGAATCCTATTGTGAATGAGTTGTGAATTTGTGAAAAATGATGTCGACTGTCGAGAGTCGGTCGAATCATTTTCTCTGTGCTTGTATGATCTTACAGTTAGTGGTAGCTCGTTTGGCTTCGGATGGTTTGTAATTAGTAATAACTGTCACAGTGTCACTTGTCGGTCGTTTTCCTGACTATACCTACATTGAGTATTTCCCTGTGATGGAAGGAGAATCAAAACAATCCAAGTAAAAACTGAAAACGGCAACATAGCTACCAGTCTTATAGAGAACTGGTGAACCTAAACGTGTAGGTAGGGTTACAGACAAACATAACGAACAACGTAAAAGCAATATTAAGAAGGTCATTATTCTTATCTTCGCATAATATGCTATCAATTTGCAAAACCGCTTAATTTTATCAAGACATAATTACTGCACACTGTGAACTCGTCGGTATTTATTCTCGCATATTTTGTGTCTACTTGGGTCATGAAATCTTTGTCCTACAGTCATCTGTACCGGGAATGATGACAATTTTTTATTGTTTCTTGAATATTCTCCGCAGAATTTTGATTAACGAGCTCGTAAATGAGTAAATCGTCACAACATGCCTATTAATTTCTGAGCTCCGCTTTGATCCTCTGATTAATGTGATTCCGAAGAATTCCCACTGGTAAGAAAATGCCAATTATGTTGTTAAAGTCGAATTACGTTGAGAAATTTCGGGGATGAGGTAATGTGAGCGGGATTGTTACTAGGTACAGGATTAATAATCCTTCTCAGGGTTGACTATTAAGAATCCCTCTTATCTGGCTCCAACAAAGATCAGATCACGTCACCCAATCTGTGACGATCCATGGATTTATAGCTGATTAACATGGTAATTATGTAGTCCCTCACTCAAGTAATAGAGCGAAGCAGAGCCTCCTTAATATAGTTCATTTTATAGTTCATTATAGGGACAATAACATCACTGAAGTTGACGAATTTTTCTTCTCTCATATTATGTCGGTGAGAGACCAAGATAGGAAAGAATGTAGCGAACGCCAACTTGGCTGATAATGATTGCTATTCTGCTGAAGAATAGAGTTTGAAATCCATTCTCTCATACCATCTACAATCTACATCCAATGACAATGAGAAGAGTTTGTCAAGCGGAAGATAAATTTATGATTCCTAGATGAAGTGGCAGACGAAAATCATGGAGGAGTTCAACGA